GTGCTGAGATTACAGGCCTGAGCCACTGCACCTGGCTGGAAACATTATTATTAGAAAAAATTAGCACTGATGCTTGTGGAAGAGGGTGCAAAATTCCTATGGATTATTTTTTATTTTCATTTTTATTTTTTTTGAGACGGAGTCTTGCTTTGTTGCCCAGTCAGGAGTGCAAAGGCATGATCTCAGCTCACTGCAACCTCCACCTCCCAGGTTCAAGCGATTCTTCTGCCTCAGCCTTCCAAGTAGCTGGGATTACAGGCATGTGCCACCACGCCAGGCTGATTTTGTACTTTTAGTAGAGACAGGGTTTCTCCATGTTGGTGAGGCTGGTCTCAAACTCCTGACCTCAGGTGATCCCCTGTCTCGGCCTCCCAAAGTGCTGGGATTACAGGCATGAGCCACTGCACCCGGCCTCATATGGATTATTAAAAGAAATAATGAAATGAGAATCCTTTGCCCTAGTGCCCCCTCCTAGTCTAGTCTAGTCTAGTCTATTCTATTCTATTCTGTTCTGTTCTGTTCTGTTCTGTTCTGTTCTATTCCGTTCCATTCCATTCCATTCCATTCCATTCTATATTTTATTTTATTTTTTGAGATGGAGTCTCACTCTGTTGCTCAGGTTGGAGTGCAGTGGCATGATCTCGGCTCATTGCAACCTCTGCCTCCCGGGTTCAAGCGATTCTTCTGCTTCAGCCTCCTGAGTAGCTGGAATTACAGGCACCCGCCACCACACCTGGCTAATTTTTGTAATTTTAGTAGACACGGGGCTTCACCATATTGGCCAGGCTGCTCTTGAACTTCTGACCTCGTGATCCACCCACCTTGGCCTCCCAAAGTGCTGGGATTACAGGTGTGAGCCACCGTGCCCGGCCTAATTATTATTTTTCAAAAATGCGAGGCTGAGCACAGTGGTTCATGCCTGTAATCCCATCACTTTGGGAGGCTGAGGTGGGCTGACTGCTTGAGGTCAAGAGTTTGAGATCAGCCCAGGCCACATGGCAAGATCCCATCTCTACAAAAAATTACCTGGACGTGGTGGTGGGCACCTGTAGTCCCAGCTACCTGGGAGGCTGAGGTGGAACGGTCACTTGAGTTGTGATGGCACCACTGCACTCCAGCCTGGGCAACAGAGCAATACCCTGCTTCAAAATGTATGTAAATATATTTTTAATAGACTATTTTTAAGTGTAATTTTAGATTTACAAAATTCAGCAGATAGTACAGAGAATTCCAATACATACCCCTCATGCCTAGTTTTCCCCTATTATTAACATCTTATATTAGTATAGTGTGTTTGTGACAATTAATAAACCAATATTGATAACATGCATTGTAACTAAAGACTATATTCAGAGTTAGACCATGTTATTACTTGTCTTTTTTTCTGTTATAGGATCCCACCCAAGGTACAATATTACATTTAGTCTCATCAGTCTTCTCTTAGCTGCCATAATTTCTTAGACTTTACTTGTTTTGATGACCTCGACGGTTTTGAGGAGATCTGTTCAGGCATTTTGTAGACTGTCCCTCTTTTGGTATTTGTGGCTTTATTTTATAAACACTCTGGGGCCAGGTGCGGTGGCTCATGCCTGTAATCCCAGCACTTTGGGAGGCCGAGGTGGGCGGATCACTTGAGGCTAGGAGTTTGAGACCAGCCTGGCCAACATGGTGAAACCCTGTCTCTACTAAAAATACAAAAATTAGCCTGCTGTGTTGGTGTGCACCTGTAATCCCAGCTCCTGGGGAGGCTGAGGCAGGAGGATCGCCTGAACTCGGGAGGCTGAAGTTGCAGTGAGCCAAGATCGCATCATTGCACTCCAGCCTAGGCGACAAAAACAAGACTCCATCTCAAAAAAAAAAAAAAAAAAGAGAGAGAGAGAGAGAAAGGTGAGCTTCTGGACATATTGGACACATGGGACATGGGGGCCTGAAACACTGTTTTACAGACAGAAGAACACAAAGGGTAA